GCCATCTATAATGAAAAATGAAACTTGCTTGCAGACAAAGTCACAATGCTTCTAAGTTCCAAAACTCCAATTTTATTCAAGAGGTTTCCGGCTTTTAATACATTCTTTTCAAGTAGATCTTCAGCAGAATATTTTCCTAGGCCAGTTCCTCCACTAGGGAATATAAACTCCCTGTGGGCAATCCAAAATCAGAAGCAGTAGCAGATCTATCCCGTCTGGGGTGATGAATAATTCTTAAGAGGACAACTAGTCACGAAAAGATAAACCTGCGGGGAGGGCGCAGAGTGCTCCACAAACACCTCGTTAACAATTACAAATGACAAAGGCACAAAGGACAACTATTGTGACCGAGGGCTGTTTGAGGCTCTCATTGAGCCCTTTTTGGTCTCAGAGGTTAAGTGGTCGGACCCTAATCTGGGAGAACCGGGTTTGATTCCCCACTCCTCCTCCACTCGCACCTGGCTGGATGACCTTGGGCAAGCCGTAGTTCTTGCACAGGTGTTCTTGAAAAAGAGCCATTTCTGTCAGAGCTCTCTCCGCCCCGCCTCCCTCACTGGGTTTCTTGTTGTGGGGAGGGGAAGGGAAAGGAGTTTGTAAGCCGCTCTGAGACTCCTTTGGGTAGTGAAGGGCCATGGGGTATGAATCCAATCTCTTCCTCCTCCTCTTCTTCTTCTGTGTTTTTCTAACTTTTCTCAAAATAAATACATGTCTTTTTACCGATTTTTATGAGATTTTAAACTATTGGCCCTCACCAGTCCCCCCCCCCCTTTTGTTCTTGATTCAATTTTATTGGGTTAAGCTTCTTTCCCCTCTTCGCTTCCGTCTCTGAGGTGCTCCTCAGGTCCAGTCGAGATCTTCTACGGCAGACCAAGATGGCTGCCCTCTGAAACCGCCCTTGTCCTTGCAGCTGGGCCATGTGGGACGTCCAGGCGGGCTCTGGACTGGGACCTGGAGGCCGTACCGACAGGAGGCACAGTGTGTGTGTGACAGCTTTTGGCTTCCCCAATCAAGAGCTGCTGGCCTTCTCATGCACCCAGAGGGATTCCCCTTCTCCCCACTTCCGTGAAGAGCCGGTGCAGTGGTGAAGTGCGCGGGCTCTACTCTGGGAGAACCGGGTTTGATTCCCCACTCCTCTGCTTGCACCTGCTGGATGACCTTGGGCAAGCCCTAGTTCTGTCAGAGCTATTGTCTCAAGGACAGTTCTCAGAGCTCTCTCAGCCCCGCCTACCTCCCAGGGGGTGTCTGTAGTGGGGAGGGGAAGGGAAAGGAGTTTGTCAGCCGCTCGGAGACTCCCTTGGGTAGTGAAGGGCCGTGGGGTATGAATCCAATCTCTTCTCTTCTTCTTGTCTGTCGCAGCAACTCAGCAACGCTCTTCACGAAGGGGGTCTGCCCCCCCCCCCCCCCGGTACTTGCATATCCAAGGCACAGGAGTCCCTTCACTGAGGTGGTCTTCAAGGGACTTCTTTTCACTCTCCCCACCACCATCCTCCCTCCCCCATTGCTGATGTTTCTTAAATCAAGGGCACCCTCTGAGAAGGAAGGAAGGAGGCTGCATGGGAGCCATTTGCCTCTGAGGAGACACGGAAGGCGCGGCCAGGGGACAAAACCGGCTGCACCCGAAGGGGACTCCGGGCAGGAGAGAAAAAGAAAAGACGGTTTAGGCCGAGAGGAGATTCCCACGGATTCACAGGAGAGGAAATAGTTGGGACTTCATGTGATCCGGCACCAAGGCCTGACGCAACGACAGTCACCATCATCACGACAGAAGCTCCAAGCATGCACAGAGAGCAAAGCTGCCGATCTGAGCGTGGCTCTTCCTCCACAGGCGTCAGGTGCTGCCCAGTGCTTCCCGCAGGCAGGCAAGGCGACACCACGAGGCGGCCAGCGGCCCAGCGTCACGGGAGCACTGCACAGCTCAGCAAGACTCAAACCCGGATCTCCCTGCTCCAGGATCCACTGCCCCACACCTCGTTCAAGTGTGGATGGAGTAACACAGAGCGGGTCCGTCTGAGATCTGGGGCTAGGAGGGTTGGCCCCCGTCTTTAGAAACTACACAGCCATTTGGGACTGGGGCGAGAGGCCAACACCCGGAGGGAGCAACAGACTCGGGGGTCTCTGCTGGGCCCACAGTCCCTCGCCCCCACCGACCGGGGGGGGGGGGGGCCGGGTCACGGAGAGAGGCTGGATGGGAACTCAGCAGGGAAGGAGGACGTCAGGGGACTTTGTAATCCTTCTCGGCCAGCTCCTTCCTTCGTGAGCTTTACCCAGTATTATTAATCCTGCTCCCTTTTATAACTTTCCTCCCATTTACTGGCTTTTGTGTCTTTTGCACACTGCTGCTGGTTTGCCCTGCTGGGGTCCGTGTCAGGGCACGCCCTGCCTGGAGGAGGAGAGGCCGGGGAGGGGGGGCAGGGAGGTGGCTCTGGGCCCCGTCTGGTCCCTGGCAGGCCCCCTTGCGCTCGGAGCAGAGGAACCTCAGGGTGGCGAATGGGAGCCATGGGGGGCTGCTGCTGCTGCTGTTCCAGAAGCAGCAGAAAAGGGAGCTGCCTTTTGGGTCGCAGTTAAGGAAGACCCGAGGAGGGCCTGTGCCGTGCTGGCCTCCCTGTGGTCTGTCCTGCTGCCCCACCACAGAAGGGCTCTCGGGCAGCCAGAAGGACCCCACAGAGGCAGGGAGGAGACCTCACTTCCGGCAGGCCCCTCCCCCGGCATTGTGCTGAGACCCTGCTAGTTCAGAAAGTGGTGAGTGGGGTCAAACGTGCCGAAGCACCATCCCCTCCCGCCACTTTGGAGTGCCTTTGCACCAGAAGTTGCGACTGAACCGAGGGGGGTGCCCGGGCAACATGCTCTTGGGTCCAGGCTTCTTCTGCGCTGCAGGCATTTCCAAGAGCTTGGGGCCATAGAAAGGACTGTCCCCTGCACTGCACCTCACAACAACCCGGTGAGGTGGGACAGGCTGAGAGAGAGAGAGAGAGACTGGCTCAAGCTCACCTAGGGAGCTCCGTGGCGAAGTGGGGCTTGCTCAAACCTGGGCCCGGTTGGTCAGACGCCAACTTTTAACCATTTCACATCCACACTTCCTTTTCCAATCACTGCCCTAAACACAAGGGCCAGGGCCTCGTTTGGAACGCAAGAGACCAGGCCAGGCCTCCAAACGGCAAGGCAGCCCAGCTTGCCCAAGGGAGGCAGAACTTTGTCGTCACCGTGGAAGTGGGGTGTGCACTGAATGCACTCCTGGGAGCCAGCCATGTGCGCAGGACCCCCCCCCCCCATTACATGGGGAAGAAAGCCGGAGATAGCTGAGCGCTGCTGCCTTTTGTGTGCACCGGGACCGAGGCCAAGGCGGGAAGAGGGGCTCCAGTGATTCCCACCGCTAGTTGCCGTGGGAGACGCAAAGGGATTCTTCTTCCATTCACCCCGTTCCCCCTCCGAGAGACACTGTTCCTGGTCACCCAGTCGAGCCTACGTACACCCGCCTTCCCCTCCCCCCTGCTTTGGAGTTTCCTGTTGCAGAGCCCGTGAAGTTCAGAGGTGCCCCGAAGCCGGAATGTTGGGACCCTGCCCTCCAGGAACGGGCTGCCTACGGGCAGACGGGCACTGACAGCCGGACTCCTGCAACCACAGGTGTTTCAGCCAGCCAGGCCTCATTCAGGCGGACTCATTCCCCCTGCTGCCAAACTTGGCCACGCGGGCAGGGAGCCAGGCTCTTGAGTGATGCCAAACGTGCCGGAACCCCCTCCCCGCCGTCCCTTCAGGGAGCCTTTGAACCAGGAGTTACTGATTGATTGATTTAAATGCATACCCCCCCCCCCCGCGAGCAGGCTCAGGGCGGCTTACACTGACCGGTACCCAGGGCCACAGAACCAGACTGACCCTCCTGCACAAACTCGTGCCAGAGCCTCACGCCATCCGTCACTCCCCCATGGGAAGAAGCCCTGCCAGATCAAAAGCCTCTTTCCGTGCCTGCCGCTGCAAAGGCTGGCAGCCGCCCCCCCCCAAGGGGATCCTGCCCGGAGACCGGTCCGCGTGGCTGGGTCAGCCCAGGGCCACGTTGTCCTGAAGGCCACCCCCTCCCCCCCCAGCTCTGAACAAACCACACGAAGCCGTTTCGTAGAATCTCCTTTACTGCCCTCCTCGTGGAGAGGCTGCGGTTTCATACTGCCGGTTTTTACAAACACTTCATGTTATTTACACGTCATGGTTTAGTGTTTTGCCTCCCAAAAGACAGAGAGGAGTCGGGGCAGCTCAGCCTGAAAGTGACTCCCGCCCCCCCCACCTCCGCGAGCCCCCAGAATCACACAGGATACAGACACCAGCTGGGCCAAGCAAGGACATTGTGCAAAAAACAAAATCTGGAGAATGAGAAGAACAGAAACGATGGCAAGGAGGAATGGGATGTCCTGATTCACATGGAGCCAATTATGACGGGGCCGGAGGCGGAGGAGGAACGCCTTGATGTGCCTGAGAGGAATACGGGGGGTGGGGGTGGGAGGAGAGTGAGGTGGGCGAGGGTGCCTCAGAAAGGCCCCCCCACCTGCAACAGAGACCTACTGCCAAGCTCTAGTGCTGCCCCCCCTCACACCCCTTATTGCTTCCAAAGGAGGAGAGTAAAGCACCTTGCACAGCCCCTGGAATTGGCACCCGGGAAGAGGAACACATGGGCCGAGCCCTACCCACGGGGAGGGGGCAGGAGGAGCATGGCCGTGAGCGGCCGTGGCGCTTGGGTGGGCCCCCTGGCAGCGCAGCCTGGCCTCTGGCTCCTGCCGCAGCCTCCGGGGAACCTGCTCCCCACCCGGGAGAGAGAGAGATGCCCCGGGGTCCCGCGAACGCCAGCCCCTCCTGCCACGAAGGGCCTGCGGGAGCTCAGCCTCCCCGGCCCCTCTCCTCATCGCCGCTGCAGGCCCCGGGCCGGCCGGCTCCCTCCAGTCCCTACAGCACCCGGGGCTCCCCTGAGTGGGTGGGTGGGCGGGCCACGGGGGCGGGGCCTGCCTGGTTCCACAGGGCTGTGCCGCTTCCCCCAGCAGGGGCAGGTATGAGATCCATGGCCGCTGGGAAGAACGTTCAAATGGACATCCAGCAACGCTAAAATAAAATGGAGAAAAAGAACAGGATGGGATGAGGCCGGCGAATTCACACGTGAAATGAAGCCATCAGAGCCAGCCAGTGAAGCGACAGACAGCCCCTTTGCCCTGCTGGTGCCCCTGCCTGCCCCCCCGCCCCACGGCCTGCCCCCAGGGCCTCACAGAACAGCTTGCAGCGGGAAGCAGGACTGCAACACGGAGGAGAACAAGAAGCCCCAGCAGCCGGCCCAGGAGACCCTGCCCGGCTGTCACGGAGCGCCTGGCCGCTCGCACCTCCGCACAGGAGAGTCTGGTGGGCTCTTCCTCACAAGGAGAGAGGAGCCCACCCCCCATTTCACGCTCAATGTGGGAGGCCAGTCCCTGCTTCCCCTTCCCAGGGAGCCTCATGTTCCCGCACCCCCTCAGCCACCGGGAGCGCACGCAAGCAACCAGGCGCCTTCGCAGCAAGGAAGCCGCCCGGGAATTACCTTTGTGGGCCGCCACAGCGGAGGAGCAGCTCTCTCCGGGCCTCCTCTCGAACTCTTCCGGGACTTGCTCACTCCAGAAAACCAGGTCAGGAGTTCTCCCAACGACAAGTGGGCGTCTTCGAAGGGACCAGAAGATGTCTGAGAGAGACAGAGCGCACGTCATTCCCGAGGGGAAAAAAGGAAGAGCGGAAGCCAAGGCAGAAAGGAAAGTCTGGCTCCCGAGAGGCCCGTGGGCAAAGGAAAGGGGACTTGAAACCACACCCGGCTGCCTTAGTGGGAGACCCATCCCCACCCCACCGAGAGTGGGTGGCCCAACCGCCTCTGCTGGGGGCAGAACTCTTGGCCGCGGCACTGTGGGGCGGGCTGCTTCTAACAGCCGGCTGGTAAGGCTTCCATCTTAGCAGCCTGTGATGCCAACCACAGGCAGGGCACTTCCCAGATACACCAGAAGGGAGACAGACAGACAGACATGCCACTAGTAGCAGCCCACGGCAGCGCAAGACTCCCCAGCGAGCCGAGCCAGTCAAGCCAAGCACAACGGAAAGGACCGGGAGGAAGATGCAGGAAGGCTGGAGGAGCCGGCAGAGCCAGAAGCGAAGGAAGCCCACCTCCTCCTGGAGGGAGGAGGTGGGGTGCGAGGCAGGCAGGCAGGCAGGCCCATCCACCCGCTCATGCCAGCGGGCACTTACAGTCTGCACACCAAGTCCACGTGGTTGAGGGGAGGCCAGCTGGGGAGCGGCTCTGGGAGCAGAGGGCAGTTTCCCCCGGGTTGTCCTACGGAGGCCGGCGGGGTCGAGGTCCAAGGCAGCGGCCCCAGGAGTCTGCTAGAGCTGGAAGGGCTGCAGGAATGTCTCTGGGGTGCCAGGCCGGTCGGAGGTCCTTCCTTCCTTCTTCCCGTCGGAGAATGCGTTGGCAGCGGGGCGACAGGCACAGCGCCGAGGGGTCCTTTCCTTCTGTGGGGGTGTGGGGTGTGTGTGGAGCTGGCAGAGTTCATTGGGAAAAAAGTCCTCCTAGCTGGTCAGGGTCCAAAACGACCCAAAGGCTTCTGGTTCCTCCTGTTTGTGGTGTTGGCAAAGGGGGGGGGGCGGCGCTGGTTCTGCTGCTGGGCAGGCGGTGCAACAGGAGGCAGGGCGCAGGGAGGGCGGGGCAGGGCTGCTCGCTCACTCTCCTCTCAGAATATACAAATACTGTCAGAACAATCCTGTATGTTAATATATTTAATCTAGTCTTTTTGGTTAAACTTTAGGCACTGCTTTGGAAGAAAATGAGTTTTAAAAATTATAAAAACAAACCATCAGAGTAATTATTCAGGTTAGCCAGCAGCTTTACCACATGCAGAGCAAAGATAAATGTGACCTCGGGCTCCTGGAGGCCGGCGGGGGCTCTACGCCACAGAGAGCTGCGGGCGATTGCTGGGCTGGCTTCCCTCCCTCCCACCGTCCCCACTCGCACGGAGGGAGGTGCGGCCGGGTCCGGCGGCGTCAGCACAGCTGCTGGGACCAGGCGTGTATCTGCGGCCGTAGCTGGAGGAGGAGTAGGAGGAGGAAGCGAAGGACACGGAGAAGCCGGACCCGGTGGCATCAAAGCTCCCTCGCCTCGACCCCTGCCTGGAGCCGGTGCGTGACCCTGAGCGGGAGCCGGAGGTGGAGCCGGAGCCGCTGACGTTGTAGGGGCTGTAGTAGCCCTTGCTGGACTGGGAGGAGGCTTCCAGCAGGCGCAGGCCGCTCCCTTCCTCCACCATGCTCCTGTCCATGGCGTCCTTGTAGGAGATCTTCAGCTTGGTCTTGGGGCAGGTCAAGTACTTGGAGTAGGTGTTCACGTCCCGCAGCTTCTGGGCGGTGCGCGCGTCGATGGTGCCCTTCTGCAGCGCCTCATCTAGCGACACCCGGCCGGTGGCCTCCGGCTCAATCAACCCGCCCGTCAGGTACTGGACCTCCAGGAACCGCTGGCCGGCCTCGTAGTAGAGCCAGCCTTTCTTTAAGGCCTGCGCCGCAGACATCTTGGACTTCGTTCTGGGGTCCTCAAAACCGTAGAAAGCCTTCTGAGCCAGGTTGATCCGGTCCACCATGATTTTGTCAACCAGGCCTTTGTTGACGGCATCGGCCACAGAGAACTTCTCCCCAGAGCTGGGATCGATGATCCCCCCCGTGCAGGCCTGGGCCTCCAGCAGCCGCTGGCCGGTGATGTTGTCCACGAGGTTGCGGTGCATGGCCTCCGTGATGGACACTTTCTCCAGGGTCTCCGTGTCCAGGATGCCGGCCACAGGGCCGGTCTCTTCCGCAGGATCACTCCAAGATGTCAACTGGCCTCTGCCATGGGCTGGACTTATCGGGTAAGAGGAGGAGGAGCCAACCGAAGACGACCTGGACCGGAATCCACTCATGTTGCCGGATAGCATGTCTGCAAATTCCGTAATGGACAAGGTGCCTGAGCGATACTGGTCCAGGGCAGACTGGTCGATCAGTCCCTTGGCAATGGCGTCATCAATGTCGTACTGCCGCCCTGATCTCCGGTCTATGATCATAGACTTGACCACCCCGTCCGAGGAGGAAATGGTGATCTCCTCCCACTCACACTCCTGTTCGGAGAGCTCCAGGTAGGTCTGGTGGTCAATGAGGCCCTTGCGGTAGGCTTCATACACGGACATTTCTTTCCCAGTCTCCGGGTCAACAATCACCACCCGGCGTTTGCGGACAGAGGATTTGGATGAGGTCTTCCTCTCCCGCTTCTTCTCCTTCAAGGGCAGGAGACAAAGGCCGGTCTCCGGGTCTGTGATGCACCTCTCCATCAGCTGCAGGTAGGTCAGGTTCTCCTCGGTGTTGGGGTCGAAGAAGCCCTTGGTGTCATCACTCGGGTCCAGGAGGATCTCGTTCATCTCCTCATCAAACAGGCCTCTCTTGTACGCCATCTCCACGGGCAGGCGGTGGCTCTCCTCCGGGTCAATGATGCCCCCGGTGGCAATCTGGGCTTCCAGCAGGCGGATCCCGTGGTCTTTCAGGATCAGTCCCTTCTTCATGGCTTGGAAGAGGGAGATCAGTTTGCCCGAGTAGGGGTCCTTGTAGCCCGTCACCGCCCTCTCTGCCGAGAGCAGCTTGTCCTTGAACTCGGGCCCCACAATGCCCATGCGCACGGACTCCTCCACCGTCAGCTTGAGGCCCTTGATGGGGTCAACGACGTACCCGGTGGCTGCCTGGGCTTCCAGCAGCTCAAAGGCGGTGCCAGGGCGGATGATGCCTTTCTTCATGGCCTGGTAGACGGACAGTCTCTCCTTTGTGGAATCCACGTAGACACCGGCGATGCAGCTGGTGCCCTCCAGGAACTTCTGCAGGCTTTTGGAGACTTCCTCAACGGAGGTTAAGCCCTCCTGGAGGCGCTGCGCAGTGGCTTCATCCATGACCTGGGACCGCACCAGCTCCTCCACAGAGATCTGCTTCCGCAGGCCTCTGAAAGTCAGTTTCCGAGTGTCACAGAGCGGCAGCAAGAGGCAGCCGGTGTTCTCGTCCTTCCTGCACCGTTTGAGGAGCTGCGCATAGCTGAGCTTCTCCTCTGTGGAAGGGTCCACGTAGCTGCGGACCTCGCTGGGCTCAGTCAGTCTTTCGTACGTCTCTCTGTTGAAGTAGCCACGCTGATAGGCCATTTCCAGGGGCAGGTGGAAGCCCAGGTGAGGGTCTATGATGCCTCCGGTGGCCAACTGGGCATCCAGCAGCCGGAGGGCTTCTTCTGAAGGGATGAGATCTTTCTTCATGGCCTGGAAAAGGGAGATCTTCTGCTCGCTGTAAGGGTCACGGTAGCCGGTCACAGCCCTCTCGGCAGACAGGAGCCGGTCATGCATCTCTGGGCCCACCACCCCTTTCCGGACAGCCTCGTCTACAGTCAACATCTCGTTTTTGACGGGGTCCACAATGAAGCCAGTGGCGGCCTGGGCTTCCAGCAAAGAGCGTGCCACCTCTGGACTGATCAGCCCCCTTTTCAGGGCCTGGTAGATGCCGAGCTTCTGCTTGCTGGACGGGATGTAGACACCAGCGATGCTACCGGTGCCGTAGAGATACTTCCAGATAGTTTCTACCTCTAGAATCTCACGGATGGTCTTGGAGCCCTGCTTCAGCGCATTGTATATCTCCAGGGAGATGATCCTGGCCTCATACAGGTCTTCCGCAGTGATGCGGCGCCGGACGTAGTCGTAGGAGGTGAGGTCTTGCTGCCGGATGATCTCGGTTTTCTCGATGATTTCGATGATGATGATGATCATGCGCTCCTTGGTCACCTGGCCAGAGCGGAACTCCTCCATCAGCCGCTTGCGCTGCTCTTCGGGGATGAGGTTGGAGTGCATGATGTCCCACAGGGACATGGAGGAGCCAGCCATGTCTCCCGCTGGAATGTCAATCTGGGTGTCCTCAAACACCTTCTTGGTCTCGGCCTCCGTGTACACTTGGGTGGTCTCCACCATGGCCGGCCTCTCGGGCTGCTTCAGGGGCAGGAGGTAGAGGCCAGTCTCAGGGTCTTCAACGCACCTCTCCTTCAGCTGCAAGTAGGTCAGATTCTCCTTGGTGTTGGGGTCAGAAAAGCCCTTGGTGTCATCTGCCGGGTCCGAGAGGGTCCGGCTCATGGCTTCATCGAAGTAGCCCCGCTGGTACGCCACCTCGACGGGGAGGCGGTGGCTGTGAACGGGGTCGATGAGGCCCCCCGTGGCAAGCTGGGCCTCCAAGAGGCGAATGGCGTGCTCCCTCAGGATCAGCCCCTTCTTCATGGCCTCGAAGAGTGAGATGGTGTTCCCAGAGTAAGGGTCTTTGTACCCAGTGACTGCCTTTTCCGCAGAAAGCAGCTTCTCGTGCAGCTCCGGTCCCACCAGGCCAGCCTTCACGGCCTCGTTCACATACATCTTCTGGTTCCTGACTGGGTCAACCAGGAAGCCGGTGGCCGCCTGGGCCTCCAGGAGGACGGCCGCAGTGCCGGGCAAGAGCAGGTCTCTCCTCATGGCCTCATAGATGCTCAGCTTCTCCTTGGTCCCTTCCACATAGACTCCAGCGATGCAGTCGCTCCCCTGCAGGAACCTCTGGACGGCCTCCACCTCAGAGAGATCTTTCACCGACTTGCGCCCTTCCGCCAGCTGCTCGTACTGGGCCTTACTGAGGATCCTGGATTCTAGCAGTTCGCTTGCCGGCACCGGGGCTCGCAGGCCGCTGAAGGTCAACTGCTCTTGCTTCTTGGCTTCCGTCTCTTCAACGATGGTGATGATGATTCTGATGACCCGCTCGATGGTGACCTTGCCCGATTTGTACTGCCGGATCAGCTCCCTCCTCTGCTCTTCGGTGAAGTACTCGGAGTGGATCAGCTCCCAGATGGTGACCGTCCTGCCCTTCAGGCTGCCCGCCGGCACTTCGACCGTCGTCTTGTCAAAGGACTCCTTGGCCTGACCGTCGGAGTAGACTTCTTCCTGCTGCAGGCGGAGGGCCTGGTCTGAGAGGGGGAGCAAGCAGAGGCCCGTCGGCTTGTCCACTCGGCACCTCGCCTGCAGCTGGGCATAGGTGACGTGCTCCTGGCTGCCGGGGTCATAGTACAGTCTGGCCTCCTCGGCGGGAGCAGACAAGGCCTTGTTCATCTCTTCACTGAAATAGCCCCGCTGGCAGGCGGTCTCCAGAGGGAGGCGGTGACTGTGCACGGGATCGATGATGCCCCCCGTGGCAAGCTGAGCGTCCAGCAGGCGGATCCCGCTGCTCCTAGGGAGGAGGCCCTTTTGCAGAGCCTGGAAGAGAGAGACCACCTGCCCCGTGTAGGGGTCCCTGTAGCCAGTCACGGCCTTCTCTGCCGACAGCAGCTTCTCGTGCAGCTCCGGCCCGACTATGCCGGCCCTCACCGCCTCATCCACAGAGAGCGTCTCGTTCCTCACTGGGTCAAGGATGTACCCAGTGCCAGCCTGGGCCTCCAGAAGGGTGAGGGCCATCTCGGGCTTCAGGAGGCTCTTCTTCAGGGCATCACTGAGCGACAGCTTCTGGCCGGTGGACTCTACCAAGATGCCCGCGATGGCACTGCTGCCCTTCAGGTACCTCGCGACGGAGTCAAGGCTGGCGACGTCCTCCACAGACTTCTTCCCCTGACGCAGCTGGTTGTACAGGCCTTGGTCGAGGACTCCACTCTCCCGCAGCTCAGCCGCTGGAACCGGCGCTCGGAGGCCGTCGAAGCAGAGCTGGCCCTTCTTCTCGCTCTCCTCCACCACGGTGATGACCAGCCTGATTATCTTCTCCACGGTGATCTTCCCTGTCCTGTACTGGCGCAGCAGGTCCCGCCTCTGCTCCTCAGTGAAGTACTCAGAGTTGATGATTTCCCAGATAGTCACTGTCTTCCCCTTAAACGTGCCAAAGGGCGCAGACACGGTGGTCTTCTGGAAGACGTCTTTGGCCTCTCGGTCTGTGTAGGCCAGCTCCCCCGCGGCCGCTTTGCCCGTCAGCGGCAGGAGGCAGAGCCCCGTCTCGGGGTCCGTCACGCACCTCTCCATCAGCTGCAGGTAGGTCAGGTTCTCCTGGGTGTTGGGGTCGAAGAAGCCCTTGGTGTCGTCCGTCGGGTCAGCCAGGATCTGCTGCATCTCCTCGTCAAAGTAGCCTCGCTTGTACGCCGCTTCCACAGGCAGGCGGTGACTGTTGATGGGGTCCACGATGCCCCCCGTTGCCACCTGGGCCTCCAGGAGCCGGATGCCGTGATCCCGGACAATGAGGCCCTTTGTCATGGCCTGGAAGAGGGAGATCTTGTCCCCGGTGTAGGGGTCTCTGTAGCCAGTCACGGCCCTCTCGGCAGACAAGAGCTTGTTGTGCAGCTCCGGTCCAACCACGCCCTCTTTTACGGCCTCGTTGACAGACAGCCTCCGGTTCTTCACGGGGTCCACGATGAAGCCAGAGGCAGCCTGGGCCTCCAGGAGGATGAGGGCCGTGCCCGGGCTCAGCAGCTGCCGCTTCCAGGCCTGATAGACGCTCACCTTCTCATTAGCTGGTTTAATCAGCAGGCCGGCAATGCTGCTGGTTCCTCTCAGGTACCGCCGGATGTCCTCCCTCTGTGACAGCTGCTCTGGGGTCACGGCCCCCTTGCCCAGCTTCTCCATGGTCTCTCTGCTCAAGATGCCCGCCTCTGCCAGCTTCTGGGCGGGCACCTTCTGCCGGATGCCCTCAAAGGCCAACTCTGGCTCGCCGTTTTGAGCTAGGCCGTCTGCCACGTCTCTCCCATTGGGCATGGCTGCCAGTGGAGGCGCCTGGAGGGAAGGAGCCAGATCGTCCGTCTGGATCATGATCTCCCGGGTCTGCGCCAGGGCTGCCTGGTGCTCCTCCTGCAGGCGCTCCAGCGTCTCCCGCAGCCTCCGGTTCTCCTCCGCCAGCCGCTTCTCCTGCTGCCGCCGCTGCTCCTCCAGCCGCTGCAGCTCCTCCTGCTTCCGGCGGACGTTCTCCTCTGCCTCCGCCTGCCTCCGCCGGGCCTCCTCCAGGCCGCCCCTCAGCCGCTCCTTCTCCTGCTCCATCTCCTTCTGCTGACGGTCCTGCTCTGCTTGCAGGCCCTGCGCCTTCTTCACTTCATCCTTGAAGAGCCTCTCCAGCTTGGCTTTCTCTTCCTCAATGAACCTCTCCTTCTGCAGGAGGGTGTCCTTCTCCGAGAGGAACGTCTGCTGGAGCATCTGCGTCTCCTGGCGCAGCTGTTCTTTCTGGGCCGTCTGCCTCTGGAGGAAGGGGAGGGAGGGAGGGAGAAAGAAAGAACACGCCGGTGAGGAGAAGGGAGCAACGGGAGGCCTCGGGGGGGGGAGAGGGTGCCAGCAGGTGAAGCCACGGAGCAGGTGCCGCAAGGCCACCTCCCCAAGCCGGGACTTCCGGGGGGGTCCCTCTTAAGGGCTTACCCTGGCTGGACACAGAAGGAACGGGGAGGCAGCGACTCTCTGCTCCGTGCGGGCAAAACAAGAGGTTGAGGGGGGGGGGGGGGGGCAGGGAGCCCCTTTGGCTCAGGTTAGTGACAAGCAGTGTGAGCCAGCTCACAGTTTTTTAGCCTCCGGCTCACACATTTTTGCCTTAGCTTCTGAAAGGAGGGCTCCAGAGCAAGCTAATTTATGCAGAAGCCAAATCACTCTCTCACCACTTTAATGCCCGTAGCTCACAGAGCGGAATTTTTGCTCACAGGACCTGTGCCCACAGGTTAGAGGGATTATTGGTGACAAGTAATCACATTCCCTTCTCAAAGAGCAGCACCAGAGCACTGACATCAGGAATCACTTTTAGTGATGAGCGGACCATTATCTGTTTGCAAAAGGGGAAAAGATGGATATGTGGAAGAAAGAGAACCCCCACAGGAAGGCGGCAGCTTCCGGAGGTGACGTTCTCAGGGAGGAGAAATCCCACGTGCTGGCTTAGGACTGTCTTCTCTCTCCCCAGGCCAATGGAGTGAATCCTTCCCCGGTGCTTAGCTCGCTTGGCTCAGGGTCACCTGCCTGCCTGCCCGCCCGCCCGGATCGGACCCAAGGTCCGCTGAGCCCAGCGTGGCCGTGGAGGAGGGCAGATGCCACCCTCCACACCCAGCAGGCAGAGGGGTCAAGCGACGACGATACAAACCACCTGTGCGTATGCTGATCCCTGTAATTCTCAGGTAGGTGCACAACCCTACGCAATTCCAAAAATATGTAATCTCACTGAAGAAGCGAGCCGTTCCTGAATGAGATCACGCTAGGACAGAGAATGGTTTTTATGACCTCGTTAAAGAGAATGGTATTTATTTAGCTTTGGAAAGCTTTTTAGTACAGTATGATAAGAAACTACTCATGAGATGTCTTTTACAGTTTATCTATCTAACTCAAGTTAGAAATAATTAGTTGTAAGTTCCAATTATTTTTAATTCAAAGACACAACTGTGTCAAAGAGTTAGGGAATTTTTCATTTATGATCTAGAAGATTTGGAATGCCTTTCTGCACCACTTCTATAAACATCTAGTCGGAATTCTGCTCTTGGAGTCCAGACGCATTCTTTTACACTGGGGAACCCAACCCCCCTTCTCTCTTTCTAACTACGGGGTCTAAAATTTGGCCTGTCTTTCTTTGTAGGGATTTTACTTGATACATCGGCAGCTAAGATACAGAAATGCCAGGAAGATCTATGTTTTTATTGCATGTGCCTTGTCTGGAATTACTCCCGTAATTTCCAAGGCCCTGTACACATCCATTACTCGTCCAGTAGAGAGAGGGGCCCTGGCCCAGATGAAATCAACCTAGCCTGACCTCGGTCAGTCCCTGGCTGCCAAGCAGGGTCAGCCTTGGTGAGGACTGGGGTGGGAGACCTCTGAGGAGGCCCAGGGTCGCTGGGCAGAGGGCAGGCAAGGGCAAATCACCTCTTGCCTTGAAAAGTCTACCTCAAGAGGTTCCCAGACATATTTGGCCTACTGCCCCCATTTCAGTAAAAAAAATTACTCAGCACCCCCCTGGAAATCTACTTCAAGAAGTGGACAAAACAGATGCAGCTTGTGGATCTGCACCTGGATCGTTCCAGCACCCCCCCCCCCCAGGGGGAGGTATTGCCCAATTTGGGAACCAGCGGTCTACGTGGTCGCCATAAGTCAGCTGCAGCTTGGTGGCATTTTCCTCGGCCAACAGAACAAAGTTTGAGTCCAGTCAGGCACCTTTAAGACCAACAAAGGTTTATTCAAGCTTTCATGTTCACGCATACTTCCTCAGATACGATGAAATGGAAAATAGCAGTCATACATATAGAGGGTGGGCAGAAAATCAGCTCACAGAATAATGAAGATGTTTTTAACAGATTAAAAGAATAACGAACTTAAGTTTATACAGGCATCAGTAGGGGTTTACACAGGGTAGCTTGCTGGAGCCTCTCCCCAAGATACCCACCAAATTTCAAGAATATTGGACCAGGGGGGTCCAATTCTACGGGCCCCCAAACAGGTTGCCCCATCCCCTCCATTGTTCTCTACGGTGGGGAAAAAGTAACTTGGGGAGAGGCTCCAGTGCAGCTACACTGTGAGTTGAGTTTGGAGCCTCTCTCTCCAGCCCCCAGAATATACCCTATTTTTTCGCCATTGACTTCAATGGCCCATAGGATATAATGGGGCTGAATTGCCGCCGAATTTCGGCAGCAAGCCGATTCAGATCAGAGAATCTGAACCAGCCAGCAGCAGCTCGAAAGGGGCCCGAATGGGCCATTTTCGGGGGTGCATTCGGTTCAGACCAACAGAATGCACATCCTTAGCTATCATCCACTTGGGTTCGACTCATGGGGGAAAACATAGCAAGGAAATAACGACATCAATCTCCAATTCTGACATATTTATATTTCCTTGCTATGTTTCCCCCCACGAGTGGAACCCAAACAGATGACAGCCATAATAAACTAAGCTTGTTATTCTTTTAATCTGTTAAAAACATCTTCATTATTCTGTATGCTAATTGACTGCCCACCCTCTATAAATACATATGACCGTTTTTTCTATTTCATGATGTCTGAAAAAGCGCATGTGAACACAAAAGCTCATACCATGTGTAACGAAATGTCAGATACCTGTGTTCGTAAGACGGCTGCTGTCTGTGGCTATTTGTTTTACAATGTTCCCTCACGTGGTTTAATTGGGCTGTAGTTCCGGGGGGGGGGGAGCTGCAGGAGTCTCACTCACTGGGTTATTTGGGGGTGTGGCTCCGGGGGGGGGGGGGCGCCTGCAGGAGTCTCACTCACTGTGTTGAATGGGGTTTCCTCATCTGTTGGCCTACAGTTCCCAGCTGCCCCAGGGCCAAAAAGTGCGGGGAATGAGGGACCGCCCCAAGGGGCGGGGGTGGCGTCAATTTATACTCCGGCCCACCCAGGGAGGGGTCAGCCTTCGCCCTACTGGGAGTTAGGAGAGGCTCCTGCTGCCCGTGCTGACCAGGGTGTCCAGGCCCCAAGCCAGAGACGTGGGGAACCCAGGGGAGGCAGCAGGTTTTTTTGCGCTGCGGGGTGGCGGGGGGGGGGGGGGGGGGGGGAATGAAGGGAAGTCTCCCCCTGCTCTCTTGGGCAAGAGAGAGGCTGAAGCAGAACCGGGGGCCGGTCTGAGGAGAGACCCTATCCTGTTGATTTATGCCCTGTGGGTTCATAGTGTGTGCCTCATTCATTTAGTGTGTGTGCGCGCTCCATAATTGTTAAAATAAATCCTTATATTTGGGCTAAGAATCTGTGTCGGGCTCTGGCCACACAGTCTCCCCCTTGCTCTGCACAATACCAAAAAGGGTGGGGTGGGATGGGGTAGAGATCCCGGGAAGCAGGGGAAGGCCAAACCCTTGGGATGCCAACTTCCAGGGGCCACCCAAAGATTGGGGATTCCATCTTCAAGTAGAGAGAATCAGCCAGAGGGGGTCTCACTGTCCCTCTAAAGAGGCAGTGACAATTCAGTGAGTGGCGGCAGCCAACTTAAGGACTGAGATAGGCCCACGGGAACAGGGTGGGAAGCGAACGGCCGAGTTGTGAATCGAAGTGGACCACCCAACGCCCGGGGCTGAAAACAGGATCCTGTTTCACCACACCTTGAATACACCTTTCTTGGTCATAAAGGTGCCCGACTGGACCCTAAATTTGCTCTACTGCTTGAGACCAGCACAGCTGCCCACCCGGATCTATCCTCCACCAACAAAGAGAGTTCAGCTTTATTACAATAGAGATAATTCACTCAGGAAGGTCTTTTGTTTCGTTGAGGAGCTGAGGTGCCTGGTCCACTCCTAAATTACAGCGAGCTGTCTGAAGTAAGTTCTCTCTCAGAAAGTCTAGCTTTAAACAGGCCTGACAAGAGTTTTATTGCTCTGCGTCCACTTTATATTTCCAGGTAACTGAGCAGAGAGAAACTACTTAACTGGGGTATCTATAAAAACAGAGGTACCCCTCTGTCAACAAAGAGAGTGTTTTTAGGATTTGGGGAATTCGACAGGCCCCGTTTTCATAGTCTTTTGGGCCAGTGGCTGTCACCAGTGTTCCCTCTAAGCTGAGTTGGTGTGAGCCAGCTCACAGTTTTTTAGCCTCCGGCTCACACATTTCTGTCTCAGCTCAGGAAAGATGGCTCCAGAGAAAACTAATTTATGCAGCTGCCAAACCGCTCCCTCACAACTTTAATGCCAGTCGCTCACAAAGTAGGAATTTTGCTCACAAGAAGACTCCACCGCTTAGAGGGAGCACTGGCGGTCACTACATCTAGCGACAGAGATCCAAGAGATAACTGCAACAGAAAGTCCCGTTGCTTAAGGGATTTCTTTCATTGTAGGCAAGAGCTTTCCTTAGTGCTTTATCCACAATTGGGGTTTTTTGGCTCTCAACGTGCCGCCAGTCACCTCCAGTGAAGGAGCCACAGGCACGGGTGCTTTTCGTGAGGGGAAAGCGTCTCTCTCTCTTCACACAGTCACCCCCCCCCCCGCACTAGGTCACGCCCGAAGCCCTAGTCTGGGCAAACAGCTGCCCCTGTGCTCTGAAGGTGACCCGGGCCTTAGGCCCATCCCCCCTGCCACAGTTGGCAAAAGGCAACCAGCTCCCCTCAGGCGCCACCCCCCTCCCTGACGGCCCTTTGGCCTCCGGGCCTCCTTCCCGGGTCACCAACATCGGGAGAGGTGCCAGCCCCGTGCCTCAGGCCCGCCTTGCCCCCGAGTGACAGGGAGCAAAGGGGTTCTGAACAACGCACGGAAACAGGGGCAGCCAAACTGAGGCCCAGCCTGGAGCGGCGAGTGCGAGAGATCCCGAATGTGCTCTCCAGATGAGAACACGTTTTAGAAAACCTTTCCATACAGGAGATGTTTTCCCCGGCTGCCTTGGCGATGGGGGGGACGACACGGCACACGCTCGGTCAAGAGGGCGGGGTGTCACCTGTACAGCAAGGAGAATCTCACCGGTCTTCCACACCTGCCCAGGAATCCAGGGAAGCTGCGGGGGGTGGGGTGGGGGGGCAGGTCAAGGCGGCATGAGCGGCTTTCTACACAGCTCCCCGCAGACCCACCGAGGTGGGTGACCCCTGGGGGGAACGGCGGCCCCGCTATCAAGCCCTCCCACCTCCCCTCGACCGACTAGGCAGAAAGGAACTGTGAGGAGAAGGCCAGTACCTCTTCCGCCTTCTCCTGCAGCAGCTCCGCCTCCCGCTTCAGCTTGGCCTTCTCCGTCTCCAGCTCCGCGATGGCCTGCCTCAGCCTCTCGGCGTCCTGGTCGCTCTGGTGCCTCTGCTGCTCCAGGGTCAGCACCAGCGTCATCTTCTCCTGGGTGGCCAGCTCCGTCTGGTGCAGCTTCTGGCCGATCTCCTCCGCCTGCTTCCTGAACCGCCGGGCCTCCTCCTCCGCCTTCGCCTGGGCCCGGCTCATCTCGGACACCTGCAGCTTCAGGCGCTCCGCATCGGCACTCATCTCCAGCTGCCGCTTGCGTTCCGCCTCCAAGGTCCGCTGGAAGCCCTCCGCCTCCTCGGCCAGCTGCTGCTGCATCTGCTCCTTGTCTTCCTGCAGCTTCTTGGCGTGCTCCTGGGCCAGGTCCTTCTGCTTCTGCAGCACTTCCGCCTCCGCCTTCAGCCGGGTGGCTTCCTGGACGGCCTGCATCTTCTCCTTCAGGATCTTCTCCGCCAGGGCCCGCTGCTTGGCCAGGTCCTCCTCCGCCAGCTGCCGCATGCGGGCGGCCTCCTGCGCCTCCACGCTCAGCCGGGCGGCCTCCTCCGCCACCTGCTTCATCTTCTCGGCCTCCTCCAGCAGGAACTTCTGCATGTTGTCCTTGTCCTTCGTGATGAGCACCTTGTTCTCCTCCTCGATGCGGGTCTTCAGCTTGATCAGCTCCTCCATGTGGACCTTCACCTTGAAGAGCTCCTCCTCCGCCTGGGCCTTCTGCTTCATGGCCTCCGTCACCTCGTCCTTCAGCCGCTGCAGCTCCTCTTCCAGGATGTCCTTCTGGTGCTCCGTCTCCTCCTGCTGCAGCTTGACCTTGGCCAGCTCTCGCTCCACCTGGGCCTTCTGCCGCAGAGTCTGCTCGGCAAACTTCTTGTGCTTCTCCATCTCTGTGTCGGCCAGCTGCTTCTGCCGGAGGGCCGCCTGCTCCGCTTGCGCCCTCCTGGCTGCCTCCAGCTCGGCCTCCTTCCGGAGCTTTTCCGCCTCCCCTTGAGCCCTGGCCTGGGCCTGCGCCTCCTCCTCGGCTCGCTGCTTCAGGTGCTCGGCCTCCTCCACCAGCTGCCGGGACGAGACCGCCTCCTGCTCCGCCTTGACGCGGGCAAACTCAGCTTCCTCGGCAGCCTTCCTGGCCCGGGCGGCTTCCTCCCTCAGCTTGTCCAGGAGGCTCTGCTCCTGCTGCCTGGTCTGCAGCAACTCCTGCTCCTTCTGCTGCACGGCCACCAGGTGGGCCTTCTCTTCCGCCGTGATCCTCTTCTGAGCCGCCTCCTGGGCCAGCTGGATCTGCCGCTCCGACTCCCGCTCGGCCAGCTCCTTCTGCTTCTTGGCCTCCTCCACCCTCGCCTTCAGGCGCTCCACCTCCTCCAGGGCTGCTTTACGCTGCCGGCCGGCCTCCTGCTCGGCAGCCAGGATCTTCTGGACCTTCTCTTCGGCCTCTCTGCGGCGGTGCTCCTCCTCCAGGGCCGCCTGTCGCAGCTTCTCTGCCTCGCGCTCGGCTTGCTCCTTGCTCTGCTCGACCGCCTCCGCTCTCTGCTTGATCTTGCCGAGTTCCTGCTCCAGGTCTGCCTTCCCCGCAGAAGCCTTCTCAAACTGGAGCTTGAGGACGCGGATCTCTTCCTCGATGATGCGCCGCTGCTTCAGGGTGTCGTCCACGAGGCTCTTCTGCCTCTCCAGCTCGCTGGCCGAGGACTGCTTCAGCTGCGTGATCCTCTCCTCGATGTCGCGCTTGTGCTGGGTCGCTTGCTCCTCCAGCAGCCGTCGCTGGTAGGCCTCGTCCTCGGCCAACCGCCGCAGCCGCTCGTTCTCGGCCTCCTTCTCCTTCAGGGCGATTTCGGCTTCCGCCTTCAGGCGCGAGGCTTCGTTGATGGCCGCCAGTTTCTCCTTGAGGATCCGCTCGGCCTCTGCCCGCTGCCGGGCCGCCTCTTCCTCCGCCAGCTGCCACTGCCGCTTGGCTTCCTCGGAGAGCGCCCGCAACCGGGCCGCCTCCTCCGCCAGCTCCCGCAGCTTGCTGGCCTCGGTCTCCAGGATCTGCTTGGACTTCTCGCTGGTGGAGCGGGACTCTGCCTCCGCCTTGACCTTACTCTGGAGCAGCAGCTCCATCTCCGCCCGCAGCTTGGCCAGCTCCTCCTCCAGCTCCTTCCGCTTCTGGATGGCCTCGCTCACTTCCGCCTTGAGGCGGAAGAGCTCCTCCTCGAGCAGAAGGCGCTGCTGCTCCCCATTCTCCATCTCTGCCTTCAGGCGGACCAGCTCCTGCTCCGCCTGCCACTTCTGCTGGGCGGTGCCCTCGGCCAGCTGCCGCTGCTTCTCCAGCTCGCCCTCGGCCATCTCCTTCTGGCGCAGGGCGGACTCCTCGGCCTTGGCCCGCTTCCGGGCCTGCCGCTCGGCGTCCTCCTTCTGCTTCTCGGCTTCCTCCTGGGCCAGGGTCTTCTTGTGGGCCACCTCCTCGGCCTGCAGCCGCAGCCGCAGGGCCTCGTTGGCCTTCTGCCGCCACTTCTCCACCTCTTTCTCCGCCTCCTCCCGGACCTGCTCGGCCTCCAGCTGCTGCCTGCGCAGGCGCTCGGCCTCCTCCTGCAGGTGGGTGACCGTGATGTGCTCCTGCTTGAGGGACAGCTCCAGCTGGGCCGTCTTCTCGGCAAAGGACAGGCGCCGGCTCTGCAGGTCAGCCTCTGCACTCTTCAGCGCCACCTCCTGGGCCACCTGGATCTGCCGCTCTTTCTCCAGCTCCGCCTGCTTCATCCGGCGTTCCGCCTCCTCGGCCTGCAGGCGCAAGGCCTGCAGGTCCTCCAGGGCTGCCTGCTTCTCCCTTGCGGCCTGCTGCTGGGCTTGCACCTTGCGCTTCAGCTCCTCCTCGGCCTCCTTCTTCCTCTGGGCCTCCTCCGCCACCTGCTTGCGCAGGCGCTCGGCCTCCTCCTGCGCGAGCCTCTTCTGGCGCTCGGCCTCCTCTGCCCGGGCCCGCAGCGCCTGCAGCTCCTCCTCGGCGCCCAGCTTCTGCTTCTCCGTGGTGGCCAGCTGCAGGCGGATGACCCGGATCTCCTCCTCGACCCTCCTGCGGCTCAGCTCGGTCTCCTCGATCAGCTTCAGCCTGGACTGGACCTGCAGCTCCGAGTCGAGCTTCATCTGCTTCAGCTCCTGCTGGATGTTCTGCTTCTGCTGCGCGGCGTCGACGGCCACCAGCTGCCGCTTGCTGACCTCCTCCTGCATGAGCTGCTGCAGCTCCAGGGCCTCCTGCTCGGCCTGGGCCTTGGCTTGGGCGTGGGCCTCGGCCAACTGCTTCTGCTTCTCCAGCTGGGCCTCCACCTCAGCCAGCCGCCTCCGCTCCTCCGCCTTCTGCTTCTCCGCGGCTTTCTGCGGGGAAGGGGTGCAAAGGACAAGGGGAGAGATAAAGAGAGATCACCAGGCAGAGCTTGGAGGGGCCGGGGGGGGGCGTGGCGGGGCTCCTCCCAAGAGGCGTCAGGACTGAGGAGGAGGAGGGTGCAGCAGCGCTCCTGGCTGGCACTGAGTGCAACAGGCAAGGAAGCAGGACAAGCAGCAAACCCCGGACAGACAGACAGACAAGCAGAGCTCAAGACAAATGGTCCCAGGGCCGAAGGGGGGGGGGGAGACAGACTGCAGCAGGCACAGCAGGCAGAGACCCCAAGCGCCAAAGGGAAAAGTGAGAGGCGGGCCCTGCCTGGCAAGCCAAAGCAGCCCGGGATGGGGAAGGTTGCGCAGGGAGCTGCCTGCACTGGGGAGGCAGACCCCGCAGGCTCAAAAAGCAGCCCTTCCGCTCGCTTCTGAGCTCAAAATGAGGCTCCCGGAAGCCAGAAGCGCCTCCCGCCTGGCTCTCAGAGGACACCTGGCGAGAGGCAGCACAAGAGGAAAGAGGCAGACGACTCACCTCTGCGAAGAGCCAAGAGACACACACACCCCCGCCCCCGGGAGCACACCAGGCAGACACAAGCCAGGAAGCAGGGGGGAGACTCCACACCGGGGGAGACCGAGGGCAGGAGAGGGGGGTGTTTGCGACAGGGGGGTGCTGAGCTCGGCGACGTGCCCTCCTTTCTTCCCGGGGGCCCCCCGGACGAGTCCCTGGCCCCACCCGCCAAAAGTCCTTTCTTGCATGCAGTACGGACCCCGCTCCCCCTCAAGCCCCTAGGCAAGTGCCCCCACCCTACCCGAGAGGGGAGGGAAGACGACGACGACAACGGACTGGGGGTGGGGGTGCCCCATGCGTGTAGCGGAGTACCTGGTGCAGCAACGCCCGGGTCCTCGTGCTCCTAACCCTCCATTAGAGCCCCACCAACACAAACAGCCCCCCAGACAGAGCACCGTCAAAGCGGCTCGACTGCCAGGGGCAGAAACCAACAGTTAGAGAGGCGACCAGAGCAGACTGGAACGGGAAAGAACAGAGCCAAAGGAGAGCCAGGAGAGCTGGGGGGTGGGGGGGAGGACAGGAGAGGCAGTGGGAGCAGCCCCCCGGCCGTTGCAGACGAAGCGGGACTACTGAGTGCATCCGGGAAGTGCCCCTGCAGGGCAGACCAAGCCCTGCCGGCCCTGGGCCACAAACCCTCCAGGCCTGGCGTGCCCGCCCTCCTCTCCAGAGAGAGAGAGAGAGAGAGAGAGAGAGAGGGGGGGGGTTGACGCCGAAGGCAGAGTGCTCGGGGTTGTCAGGGACACGGGGGCAGGGGGGGGGAGGATGCAGCTGAGGCATGCGGGCCCCCAAACCCTTCCCCAACGGGCCCCGCGCCCCCTCACCTCTTCTCCCTCCAGCCGCCGCAGGGTCTCCGTAATGAACTTGATGTACTGGCTGGTCAGCGTGGTCAGCTCACTGTATCGCGTCCGCAGGTCCACGTACTGCATCACCAAAGGAGGAGGCGGTCAGTGCGCCAGAAAGGGAGAGCCCCAAAGCTTGCCGGGGATGGAGTCGGGTGGGCGGGAGAGAAACCTCCTTCCCCCGCCCCCCTCCTGCCCCAAGAAGGCCGCAAGGATGCTGCTCTCCACGGCCAGCCGCTCAGGGCCCCAGGGGCTGCTCGACACTCCCGGGACC